ATCTTTGTGCAGGACAGACCAGGGCAAGCACTCAGTAGTGGCTGGAGGGGTTTACATTAGCCCCGTAAGGGAACAGTGAGGAATTCTGACAGTGGGGGTGTTAAACGTCAGGATATGATATTCAGAGCAGCTGTGGTATCTCACTCTCTTTAATAATGGAACAGACTCTTCCATGGAATGGTTTTGAAGTAATGCTGCTCAAATCAAAACTGGATAGCTTCTCAAAGTCTCTTGGAGAGTCCAAAAATTACATATATGTCTATGTCCAACAATACCAGTAACAACCAAATACAACTTTTCTGCAAAGCAATACCTGTATCTCACCAGAGGATATTAAAAAGGTGGCTTTCTCTTCAGTTCTATGTGTTTTGCTAGATACGTGGGTCTTTTTTATCTGTATTATCCTTGTTTCTACGGAACCAGAAGCCAACTGCTTTTACTTTATAAATTTTAATTTTCAAACCAAATCCTAATTATAGCAGAGCCCCTAATTATAAATTGATTTACCTAACTAGCTCCATGACCTTGGGAAGTCACTTCTTGTAAAATGAGAGAATGTAACATCCATGTTCTGTTCACCATTGTACTCCCAGCCCCTGGGACAGAGAAGGCACTGAATGTTTACAAAGTAAGAGGATCATTCTTGTTCCAAAATGACAAGTATAAAATAAGCTTAATCATTTTTCCTTTTCAACGAATTAGATTTAAATCTGTGTATTCCCAAACATTTTTAGAGGACATTGAAACAGAAATTTCCTATGCAACAAATAGAAATTTATAGAATTTAAAATAAAGTAATAATTTTTAGGAAAAAAACGGTAAGTTATACAATAGCTGAAAACTTTCACCCAGTGTTTTTTATACTTCCCATTTCTTTGTCCCCTTTAATGCATTATCCTGTCCTAGTCCTTCTTCCTTTGAAAGGAAGGCAGCTGGTAGGGAGAAAGAGCATTAAACTTACAATGAGAAGGCCTGAGTTTTAGCCCCATCTCGTCCATTAACTGACTCTGAGAACAAGCCACTTCCTCTGGAGCCTGAAAAGCTGCACTGTAAAACAAAGGAGCTGAACATATTAATGTCTGAAGTCTTCTGCTTTAAAAATCTATGACTCACCTTTCATTCTACCCATTATCCTATTCCTAAAGGCTTGATTCAGTGCTTACAACAACACTCCTAGACCTGTGCAGTAGCCTCAAAATTTGTCTCCTTCCCCTTTATTTTTCTGTCTTATCCATACTGCTACCAAATGAATATGATCCTAAAACCATGAGCAGAGCGGAGTGCAAAGCACACTGGTTTGAAATCAGGGAGACCTGGGTTCAAAGTTAGACTCTGCCACTAACTAATCACATCTCTAACATGGTGATGTTATTACCTATCTCAATGAAGGCTAAATAAAATATATAAAGCATCTAATACAGTGTCTGACCCACTGTAGATGCTCAACAATAATGAGGACCTGTCTCTATTTCCCAAGATCAAAAGCCTCAGTTTCCCACTGTCCACAGCAAGGATGACCAACCCGCTGTATAGATGGCAAGCAAGAAGATTTTTAAAGCTACAGAGGCAAAAACTGGGTTAAACTTTGCAGTGCAGTGAATTACTTAATATGGCCCTTTTAGCCATGCATGGTCCTGTATTCCCAAAATGACTGCGTGAGACTACGCGAATAAGGTGTTTATGGTCCACCAAGGGGATTGGACAGCCTTTTAAGAATACAAATAAGGTTCATGGAACCCCTGTGGGGGTGGGGCCATGCAAATAAGGTGTATAGAACCCTAACGAGGGGATTGGTCAGTTTTGCCATCCTGCTATGCTTAAAAACAGAGCCAATCCCAGAGCAGAGTGGGGACCACACTACCGTCAAGAAAGAAGAGCTGGGAATGGAGCAAGTTCTTTGGACCCGGGTCCCTGCACTGAGAACCAACTAGACCCAGGAGACAGAAAGCTGTAACACCGGAGAAAGCACGAGACAGCAAGAAGCGGCAGCAGAGAAATGATGGCTTAACCAGGAGACTGGCCTGAGACGGCACAATGGGCTTCCTGGCCTAGGGAGCAAGATGGCTACAGTGAGTGTGCTAACCCATGGAGCAAGAGAGCTGAACACCTCCAGACAGGATGCTTCCTGGCAGAGCGGGGTGCCTCCGGGCACTTGTCGGCGAAGCTAGGCTTGCCAACCCGAAGAGCGAGACAGCTAAGCACCTTTGGAGAGGAGGCTTCCTGGCGGAGTGGGGGTGTCTCTGGGCACTTATGCGCGGAGCTAAAGAGCTTTGTAACACTTGCCTGAGGAGGGCCAAGGGCCGAGACAGGAGCTGTCCTGAGGGGGCCAAGAGGAGCTGAGAAAGCTGTCCTGCACTGAAGAAGGAACACTTCGTCTACGTTTCCTGATCCTGGTCCCAAATCGTAACTTGTTACTTCCCTAGTAAACCCCGTAACTGTGAGTATGGTCTGTGAGTTCTGTGTGGCCACTGCAACGAATTATTGAACCCAGCAGAGTAGAGAAGGCTGTGGGAGGGATGGTTGGTATCAGAATTGGTAAAAAGGTTGGAGAGGCGATATGTTCAACCTCCACCTCATAGGAATAAGCCTTGGGCTGATGCTGTTGATGGTGATTCTCTCTCTTCCTTGTGAAGTTAGACTAGTAGGTCAGATGCTGCCCATGAGGCTCTTGTGTGTCAGGAAAGCATCCGCCTGCCCTTCTGCCCATATGCTTCATGGGTAAGGCAGCCTCAGTCACAGGCTCTTTTGAACTGTCAAAAGTTAATGGTGCAGCCTCCCCTAAGCCAAATGTACAGGCCAAGAGGAAATGAAGGAAGACTTGACACATTTCTTCAAAAAGCTATAGATTCTCTGGATTTTACCTGAAAGGAAATTCCTTAGCCTACCATTCATGTCAAAAGAAGCTATTCCCAATTCTTTGTACAGTACTTAAATGTACAGGCAATAAACTAACATTAATGTTAGCCCCAAAAACCAAATCAAACCAAGCATTATAATTTGTTTTTCAATCATAAGAAATTAAAAGGTGTGATAAAAGGGAAAAAAAGGATAAAATTTCTCACATGATGAAGATACTCTGAGCTCTGTAGAGTCATACAAGAACCTTCAGAAAAACCAATGGCTTCCTTCTTAATTTCAAAACTGGGTCAAAAGGATGAGCAAGGAAAGAAGTGATGGGGACTGGAAAAGAGAAGAAGCTCATTTCTTAAAGTGACTCAAATACATATACATATACATTTGCCGTTGAGTCAATTCCAACTCAAAGAGACCCCATATGTGTCAGAATAGAACTGTGCTCCACAGGGTTTTCAGTGGCTGATTTTCCGGAAGTAGATCGCCAAGTCTTTCTTCCAGGTAGCCACTGGGTGGATCTGAACCTTCAATCTTTCAGTTAGCAGCCAAGCGCATTAACCATCTGTGCTATCCAGGACAGTTACTTAATTATGTTGGAATTAAAAAAAAAAACAAAAAAAAAACCCAAACTAGGAATAATAATCTTTATTTCCCTATGCTAGTTAATGGTACAGTTGAGTTACTGGCAACAGTATCTATCATGTGTGAAAGTCTGGAGATCAACGAAATCTTGTGAAGAAAGGTAACGTTTGTTTTTGAAGGGACACCTATCACAAGCAACATATGCCAGAAAACTACTGCAAAAGAATATAATTTAAAAAATCCTTTCAGAAAGATTAGCTTTGTTAAGAATTATCCAAATTCACATGTCTATTTAAAAAATACAAACCCACTAATCTATGTGCTCCTTTGCGATCAGGCCAAGCTGCTGTAATGGCCCTATCCAATTAATCAGACCAAAACCCCTGCCATGAGCTGCTATTCTTCTCTAAGTACTTATCCACAAGCTCTACTGCTTCTAGTTGATCTTTATGATTGTAGTAAAAGTCTGTTTTCTTCTCCATGTTCTTTGCTCACATCCCAAACTAAACAGGCCTACCTTTTTCCACCTAGATTTGAGATCTGATCAAAGCCATTAAGACTAGATCATCCTTTCTCAACAGACTCCTCATCCACTTTCTTTTGGCTCAGATTCTGTTCTCTATACCTCTGCATATCACCCCCAATACCACTATAATCGTTTGGGTCTTGTTTTCCCTCATTCCTAACCTTATCTACGACCAGCACTCTCTTTACCTAGGCTTAGTCGCAGCTTCTTCCTTCAATTCCAATCCCCATCACTGCCCAGTCCCTCTTTTGCTTCCGACTCCTGCCCCTAATCTCTCTCAGTCCAATTCCCACTGCTTTAACACCTGACCTTGTTAAAGCCTGGTCCCCCCAAACCAGACCTTATTGAGCCCCTTCCCCCACCTTATATCAATTCCTGTCACCCTGGCCCCTGCCAAGACCCTCTTCAATTTAGACCCGGCTCAATCTCCCCTCTTTCTGATCTTTGGCTAACATCAAGCGCCGTTCCTAACCCCAGCACTCCTCCTCTAACCCCAGCAAAGGGCCACCACTCTGGCGGGCCCATCCCACTTTTTCCGACTCTGAACCTGGCGCCTCCTCCAATCCTTCAGTCAAACCTAGTGCCACAAAATCTCCGACCTTAGCCTAGTCTCCTACTACCCTATATTAGACATCCTGAAACATGCGTTCGCCCCGCATCAACACACTGTAGGCTAATGTGTCTGTCTTCCTACATCTCTGCATCCCCGACCCTGGCCTCAGCCAGGATCCCTTAGTGTGCTCAGCCCCCAGCCTAGGAGACGCCTTCCCACCCGGTAGCGCGGCCCTGCTCCCCCCATCCCTAACTCCCACTAGGACCTCTCCCCCGGGTTTGGGGGGTATTCCTCTCCCCACGTGACCCCAATCCAGTGACCCCCGACCCTGACTGGGGCCTGGTGCTCCTCTCTGTGCAGCCCTGCCCCATTATGACCCCCGTCCAGTGCTCTCTCCCCACTCCAAGCCCAGTGGGGTGTGTCCCCTAGCCACGGAACTCCCTCCAGCGGCCTCTCCCATAAGGGTCACGGGTTGCCCCTCCTCACCTCAGCGTCCACCACCTCGTGGTACGCGGGCGGGGGGTCAAAGCCGCCCCCGCCTCCGATGCTCCCGCCCCGAGACGGGCCGCTGCCGCCGTCGCCTCCACCGTCGCCCCGCGGGCCCCCGCCAGGCCCGGGACTGGGGCCACCGCCGCTGTCCATAGGTTCGTAGCCGCCGTAGTCCAGGCCCGGCCGCTCGTTGGTGAGCAGCGCCACGGCCTCATTGATGTCGTTTTTGGCCAGGCGCAGGGCCTTGCGAATGGTGGCGGGGTCCGAGAAGCCCATGCACAGCAGCGTGGTCATGTGCTGCTCCTCCTCTGATTCCATGGTTCGGGCCTCCGGGCCGCGCCGGTGGTAAGCGGCGAAGCTGCGGGTCCCCGGCCTCGCGAGCCGCGTGGCGCTATCTCCGCCGCGCCCCTGCACCCAGGCAGGGCCCTGCGTTCCTGCCCTGGCTGCTCCGCAGCCGCGGGGCCAGGTTGGGTGCAAGCGTGGGTACCGCGAGCCGAGGTAGGGCGGTGGAGTGCTCAGGCGCGGCAGCGGCCCGGCCCAGCCCTGCGCGCCGCCATGTTGGCCTCCTCCCTCCCGCCTCCTTCTCCACCCTCTTCTCCTTCTCCTCCCCCGGCCTCC